AGCAAAAATAAACGCTACTTTTTCTTAGCATTGCAATCATATATATATCCTTTGTATAAAAGGTTAAATTTTAACTCTTCTTATATTATCCACATCATAAAAATCTATTGAAAATTTCATTTATTTTTCACATATTTATAAATGAAAAACATGTTCTCCAAAAACTCATATCAAAATTTGTACCGAACTATCTTTATTTTTCAAATAAGATACAGCATAGCTATCATCTACGTCTTCAACATTTAATTTTGAGGTATTTCTAATTGTTATGAGATCGAGATATATGAGATGATAGTCTCCATGATTGGCCAGCGAAAGCTTTGGAAAGTGTTGATTCCAATGGCATATGTACCAATTAGGAATCTTTGCTCCGAGAATCAACTGTAGAAAAATAGAATCCAGAGGTTTGATAGACAATTTGTTTCATTTTTAAGACTATGGAATAGTAAAACAACTAAAAATAATTGAAAAAAAAAATCTTCGGATCAATTAAAGTTTCCAAACATAACTAAGTAGAACCAATTTGAACAATCTCGATTAGTTTCAGTTAAAATAAAATTTTGCAAAAATTCAAACATGAACAAAGAAACTCAAAACCAGTTAAACGTGATCTACTCCAACATACTACTTATCCGAAGAAGATTTCGAAGGATCATAGATCTGACCAACGAACAAAACACTTCCAGTATTATCTTCTCTTATCAAGAATAGAAACGGATGATCTGCCACAAAATCTATCTTTTTAGGACGCTGCCTAGGATAAGCACTACAGTTATGCAAGGTACGAACAACAGTTGCAATCGCAGCTTCAGCACCTTCTTCATCAATTTACAAGCTTTATGGTATAATGAAATGGACCACAGTCCCAATTGATCCAAAACACTTGTAACAGAAAAGCCGAATTCGATCTTAAACTTTAGAATTCTGAATTCCTCAACCCTTACTTTGTAACTCGGAATGTGAGTATCCAAGAATCCAGGAATAGATGACATTCTCTCCACAAGAGTATCCAATCCATCTTTCTTGTCGGGTAGATAGAAATACATTGAGAATTTATGCTTGATATCATCACTGCCTTGTTGGTAAGGGAGCCTAAGAACCTTGAAACCATCATATGCTCTTACATATTGGATCTTATGGCTAGTCATGAATGGCACAGACGCGTTTTTGCCATTGAGAAGGTGAAATTTTCTGTCTCTTGTATAACACTTATCAAATGGCCTTTCCCAAGCTCCCTTGAAGTACAAGGCATTTCCGTAAATCTTATCGGTTATGTTTGTAACAGATCCATGGGGAAGAAGATTCTTGATGAGACCATTGGTATGGTGTTCAATCCAAGCATTCACCTCCAAACGCACTTCTTTAGCCATCAAAAATTCCAAAAAGCTATATCATCAATTTCAGTTTTCCCACAATTCAAATAAAACTTTCCTAGATTTGGAAAGGGATGGGAAAAAACCCAATCCATACTCTAACCAAATTCTAAAATAATCCTAATGGTTTATAAAATTGTATGCAGGATTATCCATTCCAATGGATGTTTTAAAACCAAACCAAACTAGCCAAAATTTATTAAAATACTTTTTATAAAATCTGTAGAAAATTTATCGATTACTTCTAGAAAAATTTACCTAGAATAACCTTTTTTTTTTAAAATAGCTAGAATAACCTTACCATTTTTTTTATTGCTGAAATAACCTATTCTGGATTTTTTTTCTTTTATAATACTAAAATTGTCCTTGACAGACTCTGCCGAGGTATTGGCAGACACTGCCGAAACATTGACAGACTCTGCCGAACATTGGTAGGCTCTGCCAATGTTTTGGCAGAGTGCGTATTTCTAGATAACTCTGCCAATACATCGGTAGAGTCTACCAATATTTTCGCAGAGTCTGCCAATGATTCGGCAGAGTTTGCCAATACCTCGGCAGAGTCTGCCAATACCTCGGCAGAGTCTGCCAATGTTTTGGCAGAGTCTGCGTATTTTTAGATATTTGCAGAGTCTGCCAATGTTTCGGCAGAGTCTGCCAATACCTCGGCAGATCTGCGAAGGACAATTTTGGTATTATGAAAGAAAAAAAATCTAGAATAGGTTATTTCAGCAATAAAAAAATAATAATAAGGTTATTCTAGCTATTTAAAAAAAAGTAGGTTATTCTAGCTAATCTTCGATACTTCTATTTTATTTATTTTTTAAACCAGGGGTAATCCGGGTTTCTACTACCTGACTAATTTCCGAGGATGAGTGTAGCCGTCGAGTAGTCCACTCGCCAGGTTTTCTAATGGGCCTAAAGCGTGACACCACTTCGGCTGGCCAAACGAGAGGTGGTTAGCTAATTTCACGCTTGAAGAGAATTGAAGCCTGACCTAGATTCACAGAGCAAATCTTTCCTCAAGTGGGAACCACTAGCTTGGCTACCACTTGGTTTACTTCTACTCTGTTACAATTCCAAATTGTGGTTTTGAAGCAATGCGACATGAACTATTCTGTTCGATTTGATTGTTCTAGTCATCTCTTCTTCTTATAGAAATCAAGAGGATTTAAAGTTAAAAGGGTTACGTACCTTTGATCAGAAATCTACTTGAGAGTAAAAAGCCTTGAAGAAATTCACAAGGAGGTCCTTGAATTCTGGATCAATCGGAAGGGATTTATCGATCCAGACGCCATTTGCCGCTGTGATTTTTGGGATGTCGCTTGAACTATTGTTGGCGAAAACAACATAGGAGATTTCTTGGAAGACGACTTTGAGCTCATCGATTGAAGAATATTTCTGGAAGGTGATGGTTTCAACACCGTCTAAGTCGCCTCCGGGACCAGCTGCGAACATTGTGATCGCTGAGTTTATTGATGCCGGAGAGATGACGAGGTTAGAGTTTTGTACTTCTTTATCGATTACTTTAACCGCAAGGAACAGAGCGTTGTCGGTTTGTTTCTTCATAGCTTCTCCCAAATCAATCTCCGTGGGAGAAGGACTAATTGGGATTACTTCTTGTGGTTTGCTAAGTTTTTGCTTTTTCGTCTTTGGATCCATGACTATCTTTACCGTTTTTGTTTATTGGGTGTGAGCAGTGAGCACACAAATATGATGTGTCCCTTGTGTATATATATTAATTCTAATTAGGTTTGGGCGTGTCTTCGATTTTTAGAAGAGAAGAAAACTATTAATAATTTAAATTTTATACAGAAAAATGTTATATTTAAAAGGTTAATTGGGTTTGACCAAAAAAAAAAAGATTAATTGACTAGATAACCTAAAAAAAGGGCAATTACAAAAATATCATAAATAAATGCACTTTTTACAAGCGTGCCACATGCATACCTCCATTTTGCAATAATGCCACTACTTTATCTAGAAATGACAAATTTATCCATTAAAAAAATAAAAT